CTGACTTTGAAGACATCCCACAGTGACTGTCTGCCCCACAACACATATATGTGGCACCCAAAACCTCTCACAAGGACATAGCTGGGCCAAACATATGGGTCCTGGGCAGTTGCCATTGTTCCCACCCTTGGGTCAGCCCCACCTGACTCAGGCACCCCCACAATTAATATATCTTTCAAAAGTTAAAGATGCATTCAGAATAAGCCTAATTCCAATTTTGCTTAGTGTTTTGTTTGGAAATGCTTCTAACAATGATTCTTCGATTTCTACTGAACACACAGTATTTACTAACACTGCTCATCTCTTCCTTCCTCCACCTCCCCCAGCATTCAACTTCCCCACCATCACTTCTCTCATTATTCCTTCTGGTCTTTCTTTCCTGCACTTTCTGCTACTTAATCTGCTTCCCAAGAACAAGTGAATTTGCTAACATGAAACTGGTCAGACTAACCATCATCTTACCAATGATATCTTGGTCTCATGTGCTCCACCCTGATAGAAAGTGGGCCATCTTTCTTTCACTCTAACTTCCCCTCCACAAGAAGCCCAGATGTGCTTGCTTCCCACAAAAGAGCCACATGCCTGAGAGTCCAAGGGTTATCCTTAACAAAGGGGTCTGACATGTCACCTTCCTAAATGTGCATTTCACACTCGGACAAGCCAATGAAGTTTTTTTTTTTAAAGTTCATCTCCCCTGCCCCAAAAAACTGATAGCATGTGCCATATCAGAAAAATCCTGGTCTTAGCAGATCAATATACATAGTTATTTGGTCATTCGACATATGCACTTTTTAAGGAGGTTCAGGCTTCATTTTCTGTTGAGTTTACCATAGAGTCTGGCTTTCGAGTCATTCTGTCCAGTTCTTCCTGAACATTTGACAAAACAGTCTTTTGTCCTGGGGGAAAAAAAAAGGCAAAGTAATGATGTGAGAAGAAACAATGTATTTTTTAAAGGAGAATTTAAAATTATACAGCCTTCTCTAATCACTTGATCACCTTAAACTTAGTGAGAATGAGGAAAGCCTTTTTCCACTTCAGTGGTGAGGAGACCCCAACTCAACACATCTTCATCCCAAAAGTCACAGGCCAGTGCTTCCTCCCAACTAGGTAACTTGACTGCTCCCTCGGGGCAGGGAAGGGAAGGGTACCTTTGTGCCAAACTCAAGAACCTTTCTGAAAACCCTCTCACCATCCAACCCTGACCCCTGTGCCCTCTCACCACCATCTTCCTAGAGGTGGTGTCCAAATTTCAGCAATACAGGAAACTATTTTCTTTGCCCAAGATAGGTGTTTAGGTTTTGTTTCTAATTACAACATTCTAGACTGACTCACATGGAGAGCCTGAAAACACTATGTTCCAATAAGAATATAAGACTACAGCCAGATAATTCAATCCTGCACAGAGTCTGTACTCATGTTTTTCTGCTGTCAAATACTAACAGGTCCAGAAACGTAGATCTGTTTCGCAGTAGGGAATACTACCAGCCCAGTCTGGGCCACTAGAACAGACTCTGAGTTTCTTAGAATGTGGGAGCCACTGGAGGGCCCAGGCTGCCCCAAGGAAGGAGTGATTTCCTAAGGGTCTCCACTGCACTCCAGCCTGGGCCACAAAAGCAAAACTCTGTCTTGGGAAAAAAATGTCACTGGTTCACCCTCCATGGACTATGACTTCTACTGGAGAGGTTCTACACCAGGGCTGCATATGTAATTTAGTCTATACCTCGAGACTCACCCAACAGCCAGTTCCCAAGAACCCAAATGTACACAAACCCTCTCAATGTGCCAAGGAAATCTGCATGGTAGTAAGGCAATCCCACTGAAAGCACGGCACACTGCTCAGTAGGAAGCAAAGACCTGCTTCCTTGCTTGGCTATTCAGGACACAGCGGGGTCTGCAGGGCAAATGTCTGCCTCTCCATCCTTGCAGTACTGCTCAACCATAAGAGTCACAGGTCTCCAGAGCCCTTCTGTACCTGACTTCTTGGCTGTGCTCTGCACCCCACCAGCACCAGGACTTCCAGGAGAGCCTGTCTTTTTACTCAAGAGACTGTTGAAGAAGCTGGCCAACACCCCTTCACTTGCTGCATTATCTAAGGAAAATTAAGGGGGAAAAAAGCATCATATAAACTAGAAGACTTAAAATTAAAACCCTGGTTCTCAGCTTGTAATTAGCCACTTGTGGCTATCAACTTCCTAGCATATTGATAACATTCATTTGCTATGATGCCTTTACACTGCTACTGCTGAGGCTAATTAGCACAATTACTAAGTGGAACCATGTTTACATTTCCCACTTGTTTGGGGCAGAATAGATAACCTGTGCTCCACACCACCTCCCTGTCCATGAGACTGTGGTTTTTCAAAATTGCTGAGCACTTAACACTCCAAACTTGCTATGAAAAGCCCACATCCTGAATAGAAGACACCCATCAAACATGCAACCATTAAATACAATTGTTTTTTAATGGTTTTATTGCAGGCAGTATCTTTGGGTATCACTAAGTCACTGGGATAAAAACTACTTACACTGAAACATAATTGAGCTTGACAAGAGAAGGGGGAAAAATCCCCCAAATTCATAAGTAGTAATAATATAAACATGATGAGAAACAAAGCTAAGGATTCAAAATACACATTTTAAAGTTATCTCCTGAGTCAGGTGTGGTGGGTCAGCGCCTATAATACCATTACCTCGGGAGACCAAGGGGGTAGGATTGCTTGAGGCTAGGAGCTTGAGACCAGCCTGGGCATAGTCAAGTGAGACCCCTATCTCTACAAAAAAATTTTTTTTTGTTTTTTTGAGAGGGAGTCTCACTCTGTTGCACAGGCTGGAGTGCAGTGGCACAATCTGGGCTCACTGCAGCCTCTGCCTCGTGAGTTCAAGCGATTCTCCTGCCTCAGCCTCCTGAGTAGCTGAGATTATAAGTGCCCACCATCATGCCTGGCTAATTTTTGCATTTTTAGTACAGACAAGGTTTCACCATGTTGGCCAGGCTGGTGTTGAACTCCTGACCTCAAGTGATCTGCCTGCCTCAATCTCCCAAAGTGCTGAGACTGCAGGATTACAGGCATGAGTCAGAGTCTTGCTGCCACCCTGGCAGGAGTGTGGTGGCAATAATTATAGCTCACTGCAACCTCGATGCCCTAGGCTCAAGTGATGCTGCCGCTTCATCCACTTGAGTGGCTGGTACTAGAGGAAAGCACCACCATGCCCAGCTAATTAAAAAAATTTTTTTTGTAGAGATGAGATCTCACTATGTTGCCCAGGCTGGTCTAAAACTCTTGAGCTCAAGAGATCCTCCCACCTTGGCCTTCCAAAGTACTAGTATTTTAAGCATAATCAGAACTCTGGAGGCAGAGGTTTAATTCTTTTAAATTCAATTTTAAAAATTTAATTAAAAAAATTTTTTTAAAATCAGCTGGGTGGTGAGGCGCGGTGGCTCATGCCTATAATCCCAGCACTTTGGGAGGCTGAGGTGGGCAGATCATGAGGTCAGGAGATCGAGACCATCCTGGCCAACATGGTGAAACCCTGTCTCCACTAAAATACAAAAAATGAGCCGGGCATGGTGGCGCACACCTGTAGTCCCAGCTACTCGGGAGGCTGAGGCAGGGGAATCACTTGAACGGGGGCGGTGGAGGTTGCAGTGAGCTGAGATCACGCCACTGAACTGTAGCTTGGCGACAGAGCAAGACTCCATCTCAAAAAAAAAAATTAGCTAGGCATGGTGGCACACGCCTGTAGTCTCAGCTACTCAGGAATTGAGGTGGGAGTTTGAGCCCAGGAGTTTGAAACTGTAGTGCGCTATGATTGCATCACTGCACCCCAGGATGGGTGACAGAGTAAGACCCTGTCTCTAAAAAAATAAAATAAACCGACCTTTTATTTTGCATTCTTCTCTGAAGGAATGCGCAGGGCCTAAGTGAGGTCTCACACAGAGCCAGGTGCATGGGCTACCAATTCCAACAAAGAAACAGGCCCTGGTCTCTGTCTACCACAGGCCGTCTTCCTCTGGGAGAGGGGAAATGGAAAGTAGCCCTTATTGGGGAAGAGAATAGCCCAGCTCTCATGGGTCTCCACCTTATAGACCCAACCACCCAGCCGCTGCAGGGCTCAGGTCTAAAACTAAACTACTCTCCACAGAGACATACTTTTAAGGAATACATACTTTTGATGTTTGGGTCTGGCTTCTTAACTGATGTGCCTGGGGAGGAGCTAGGCACACTGGCTGGCCCTCCCCGACCCTGGGTCCTTGGAGAGCCAGAGGGTCCTCTTGCAGGAGATTCCTAAGTCCAAAAGCAGCTAACGTCACACACAGGCATAACAACAACAAAAAATACATATCCCACAAATGGAGACATACTTCTGCAGGAAATTTTTCACAGGCTATGGTATAGGACTGGGAGTACGCTCCCAACTCAAGCCCTTTCTGGATCTGTTTCTCCTAAGAGAAAGACATCCAGATAACAAAGCCAGCTCACTCTAATTCCCAGAGTTGTGTTCTTTCATCAGAAACTTCTTGAGTTTCTTTTACATTCCTGGTCATAGGTTTTTAGGGAAGCCAAATTCCTACTGAAAATACAAAACCCACACAAATATAGGCTCTCACAAATAATAGTATAAAGTTTGACGACACCTACAACAGTGGGCCTTGACCCTCTGTTTAGCGTAAAGTACTCACGGAGGCTCTTGTGGGTGTGGCTGGCTGCTTGGCAAGGAGTGACTGCAAAGAGAGGGACAAACTGGCCATTAACCAAGGCCTGCAGAGAACACGGAAGGTCTGGAGAAAAACTTACTCCAAGTATTCCACTAGAGGGCACTATTAACAACTAAGTCCTGTTTTATACTGTAAATACAAAAAATCTAATTAAGAGTTTGGTATATGGTGAAAAAAAAATACTCCAAGTAACCAGTTTTGAAGCTAAGGAAGCAAGCAAGGCACAGAAAGGAGGAACAGTTGGAAAAAGAACCATCAAAACCTTCTGCTGACCTGCCTGTACCACTGGGCAGACAATAGGCAGACCCAGGATATGTCTAACTGTAATCTGGGTGAGAGAAATGTGAAGCTGGGTTTGTATTCTAAACTGTCAGCTTGGGGAAGTTCCTCTCCTCACCTGCAAAATGGGCATCACCTGCCTTTATGCACAGGGCCGTGTGGGGCTACATGAAATAACAGAAGAGTGGGCAGGTTACTTGGTAAACTGTCAACATAGGAAGTATTGTGCCAGAAAACCTGCACTTCCAAAGAAAGAGCACTTAAAAGACACGAATCCTACTACTGCTGTAGGAGAGTATGCACGGCAGGCAGGTGATCTCCTAAGGCAGGTGGTCAATCCCCAACTAATCCTAGAAATAGGAAGGAATGAGGAGACCTGGTCTCAATCCCTCTACCACTGCAAGCTCTTTGTGACTCCCCACATGGAGATACCCCCAAACCCACCCTAAGAACTGGCATTTCATGCTTGAGAAGGCCTCTGTTCTAACCTCACTGGTCTTACCTGTTGCTTCATTAGGAACACCTGCTCATCTTCTGCTGCCAACTCTTTGTCATGGACCAGCTGTGAAGCAATATACACATCTGTGGCCACAGGCCAAGAATACTCCCAACCACTGTTTATGCCGAAAGAAGAGTCTGAGGTTCGGGCTTCAACACAGGTCTGGGGAATCCCTGCTGAGACTGCAGAGTAATATTTTTCTAGCCTGGCACAGACCTCTCCCAAAACCAGCCATGGCATGTAGTCAACTGGCATTTTTGTCTGCAGAACATCACATGAGGGGATCCAGTAATAGTAATCCAGAGGCAACAGCAGCACTGGCAGGACTTAATGGGAAACACCACCAACTCCAGGTGGGCATTCCATCACTCCTGCCCACTGCCCTGAGCCATTTACATAAAACCAGATCTCATTTAAAGATCAACAAAAAGGCCCTGGTGCTTACTGCTGACCCCCATCCCCTACCCACCCCTCCCCCACCAATTTATACAATGTGTAAGACCTGTTTCTTTATAGTTTTCTTTTTTTTTTTAAGACAAGGTCTTGCTCTATCACCCAGACTGGAGTGCGGTGGCGTAATCTCAGCTCACTGCAGCCTCAGCCTTCTGGGTTCAAGTGATCTTCCCACCTCAGCCTCCCTATTAGCTCAGATTAATAGACATGCTCCACCATGCCTGACTAATTCCAGGTCTCACTATATTGCCCAGGCTGGTCTCAAACTCCTGGGCTTAAGCTATCTTCCTGCCTCAGCCTCCTAAACTGCTGGGATTACAGGAATGAGCCACCACACCCTGCCTTTATAGATTTCTTTTTGCATTAAAAAAAAACCTAAAACCTTTTTTTCTTTTCTTTTGACACAGAATCTCGCTGTCGCCAGGTTGGAGTACAGTGGCGCAACCTGGGCTCACTACAACCTCTGCCTCCCAGGTTCAAGCAATTCTCATGCCTCAGCCTCCCAAGTAGCTGGGATTACAGGTGCCCAACACCATGCCCAGCTAATTTTTGTATTTTCAATAGAGATGAGGTTTTGCCATGTTGGCCAGGCTGATCTCAAACTCCTGACGACCTCAGGTGATCCACCCACCTTGGCCTCCCAAAGTGCTGGGATTATATGCATGAATCACCATGCTCGGCCCTAAATCCTTTAAGCAATTGATGTGACTACCTTTCTGATGGGAGGTTTCACAATAAAGTCTTCATATGCATCTTCTGGCTTCACGGTTGTAAAATTTTCATGTAAAATAGCTATTTTCTTTTCATTGTCCCAGCCTGCAGGTCTAAAGGCAAAGAGAGAAGGACTGAATTGTTTTTCCTGGGGCTGCCTTAGAGTATACTCAGATCACATTCAGAACACCTGGGTAAGACCCTTCCCACAAGACACACAGTGTAGTTGTTGGGGGTTGCTTGTAGCTTTTGGCAGATATGCCAAAATACACTGAGGGTATAATCCATCAGACCATCATCAAAGGTCCTGCTCCATACTGAGTTCATGGGCCCAAGGCCTAAGCAGCCAGTATAAGATCTGACTCCTCAGGCCGCCCTACTCAAAGCATTCAGCACCCTCCCACAACTCCGCCTAGAAGAGCAAGGACACAGTGGGACTCTTTTCCGACAGAGAAGAGGATGCAGAGAGCAGCACAGAAGGCAGAGCTCAGGATAGGACAGTTTTCTTGGGCTCTGTAATGGCTCCCCTCCTGTGGGTTGTTTCTCTCTCTGACAATTCTTCTTTCAACAGTTATCTTGTGGACTGGTTCATTAACTTTGCTGGCATGAGAAGATGTGTCCTAGAGCCAAGGGGACACCAGGGCCTGTGTTTATCCAAGGCCCAAAATGAGAGGAGCACAGTTCTTGAGGTTCCTACACCAGTGCTGCCTAGCTCAACATCACAGGGTAGGATGCCACCCAAGTTCCATTATGTGAAGCCACAGGTTCCCATCTGAATCCTTTAAAAATAGCAATGGTAAAATGTCTTGTATGACACTTTTGAACTCGAGCAGCTCTGAAAGATGCCAATTGATTGTTCTTACAGGCCTCTCCTTCTCCATCTGACTCCTGCTCCATAGCTCTATAACCAAAAGTGTGCTTAGCCAGGGTGCCCCACCCCAATATCCTTGCTGACTTTGCCAGTCACCAGAGAGGTAACCACCAACAGGACCAAATGTGCAAAGGTGTAGGGCATGATGGAGATACTACCGTGGGCCATGTAGCCTTTGGAAGCTGCCAGACGTTTCTTCATTCCAGACCAGCTCCAAATCCAACCAGTCTCCTTGCTTCTAGGGATGACATGTGATTTGTATACCGAGTGATGCCAAAAACACACCACTCACTGGGCTTGCGCCTTTGGCACCTGCCTGACTGCTCTGAATGATTCTCTAAAATCAGTCTAAGCCTGTAGGTATGCCATCTATGACTAGCCTGAGTGACACCCTCCTTGAATGTGCAGGTGGCAACCCAGTTCCCTGAGAGCTCCTGGCTTTCGCATTTCCAGCCTCTCACAGACTGCACTCCCCACTCCCCTACTGCAATTCTTCCTAGTCCTCCTGGGATCTACCACTTGTCTTCCAGCATCACCCTCCTGCCTTCCCCACCACACTTCCTCCATAACCCCATCACTGCCCTTCCCTTTTTCAGCTGTGTGTCCCTTCTACAGTGCAAGAAACACGTATCATTCGTGTCCCTTGCAGAGAACATGAACACCTAGTGGGTGCTGAGTAAGGTTTCCTGAATGAATAATATAATTGTCTTTTAAGTCAAGAGGATACTGAAGCCTGAACATCAATCTGCTAACACAAGTCCTGTCAGAGACCACAGCTTCACCATTTATTTATGCATCCAGCAACACTATAATTCTCTAATGAGAGAAAGACACCAGCTTGGGAAAACAGGTATCCAAGTCTCTTATCAAGTACAATCAACCCCAGTGGCTCCCAAAATGTGAAACGCAAGAAACACAATAAGCACTTGTATAGCCAAAGCCTGTGCTGACAGAGATGCCAAGAGGATGTCTGCAATCATTCCAGCCAACATACAGATAAACCAGGTGCTTTAACAGACGACATTCAGGCCGGGCGTGGTGGCTCACGCCTGTAATCCAAGCACTTTGGAGGCCAAGGCGGGTGGATCACCTGAGGTCGGGAGTTCAAGACCAGCCTGACCAACATGGTGAAACCCTGTCTTAAAAGCAAAACAAAACAAAACAAAAACAAACAAAAAAAACCAGACAACATTCAGGATCCCTGAAGCACAAGTCCCTGTATTCTCTCCCTAACTCCCCAGAGTTGACAATGAGTGCCAAAAGTGGCTGGCTTAAGTTTTGGCAACTTGCTCTCAATGAAGAAAGGCAGCACCCTGATCACACCACCCACTTCCCTCAGGCAGATGCCTCATAATCCAGAAAGCAGCAGAGAGAGTGCTGGCTATAGAAGACACAAACAGAAGGCACCTTCCTTGAAAGGGTAAAATGTAAAAATCAAATGTACTGTAAAAAGAAGAGTTTCAAACCATCATCTCAAAAGAACTCACATAAAAACGGCATCCTTTTCCACAACTAAGGCAGGTGTGGTGAAGTGGAAACCGTACATTTTATGAACAATATACTTATACAACAAGTCGAGGTTTTTCTCTTCTTTCACTGATGTGTAAATCAAGGCGGCTCCATCTAATCAAACTGCTTAAGGAAAATCAATTCACTGCAGGAGACAAATACCTCAAAGTTCTACTCATAGGTTGATCGGCTTTTGATCAATACATGAGCAATAGAAGGCATTACAATTTTAAAAGCTAAAATGCTTATAGCATTACATAGACATATTGCATACTGGTAAAAAATAAAAATAAATAAATAAAAAGGTAAAAAGGTCATAGTAGCAGATACCAAGTCAAAAGCCTAAAGCCACGTTGACGCTAGTGGGCTGTACAGCTTATTTTTTAACATGTAAATTGTTGTCTTGATCCCACAGATGACTTCCTGAGAAATCAAGTATTGGCTCTGAGGTTAGACCAGGAAAACACCCTCAGAATACCAATGTACACAGATTCCTTCCCAGGCAGATGCTTACATGTGACCAAGTTTATCATTAAACACATCTTTTAAGGAATGGGTACCAACAGACTAATGGGCTAGTTCAAAGGAAGTGGCAGGAACCCATCTCTCACCTCCACCCCAGGGTGTGGAACCATAGCACCAACTGCTATTGGCCTTTTACAAGTAACAGGACTTAAAAGACTGCTGACACCACCTCTCTCTCATGGTCACTACAAAACATAAACAAATGGAAAACATCAGTAGCATATAAAAAAATACCCTGTTTAGGAATGACCTTTTCTGCATAAAAGCAGTTTAAAGATGTTTCTAAGACAGTTTGATAAAAGTACTTTGATGATAAAATGATCATATTAAATTCTTAACATGAAAGTTCATCAAATGCACAGCATTAATAAAAGTGGGTGGATGTGGTAACTCATGCCTGTAATCCCAGCACTTTGGGAAACCAAGGCAGGCAGATCACTTGAGGTCAGGAGTTTGAGACCAGCCTGGCCAACATGGTGAAACCCCGTCTCTACTAAAAATACAAAAATTAGCTGGGTGTGGTGGCTCACACCTGTAATCCCAGTGACTCAGGAGGCTGAGGCAGAAGAACTGCTTGAACCCAGGAGGCAGAGTTTCAGTGAGCCAAGATTGTCCCATTGTACTCCAGCCTGGGCAACAAGAGTGAAATTCCATCTCAAAACAAACAAAAAAATTATCCAGATGTGGTGGCACACACCTATAGTCCCCAGGTACTCAGGAGGCTGAGACAGGAGGACTGCTTGAACCCAGCAGCACAATTGCAAAGAGCTGGGACCACACCACTGCACTCTAGCCTGGGCGACAGAGCAAGCAAGAAAAAAAAAAAAAAAAAAAAGGCCAGGCACAGGGCATAGTGGCTAACACCTATAATCCCAGCACTTTGGGAGGCTGAGGTGGGTGGATGATCACTTGAGGTCAGGACTTTGAAACCAGCCTGGCCAATGTGGTGAAACACCATCTTTAATTTTAAATAAATAAATAATCAGAGGTAGACACAATAAGCCTAAAACTCCAATACAGTAAAACATAAACCTAATAAAAAGATACATAGCATTTCTCTCTGGCAGAACACTATTCTGAGTTTGGGAGGCACTTTATCTCTTTGAAGATGCCCCATTTGAAAGAAAGCTTGTGACCCAGGCCCCACACAGCACCCAAAGGATACACTGAAGGCAGAACCTTCGCAGGTGTGACTGGATAAAGTCCAAATGCTCATCCCTGTAATCATGCTCCTTCTCCAGGACACTCACCGCATCACACTACAAGAAAGACAGACAGAGTCATCTTTTTGCGTCATTGTCTGCTGATTATGGAACAGTGCATTCTTCAGAAAGAAAGTATTGTAGCTGCAAAGAAGAAAACCACAGCTCAGGGTCCATGCATTAATTAGAGAAGAGTAAAACAGAACAGGAGATTTTTTCCTGGTTCATCTTGGGCCTGTTTTTTTTTTTCTTTCATCTGTAGAGTGAACATGTAATAGGCCTGATCATCTAACAGCTGTTTATCAAACAAGGTCCTATCAAGAGACAGACCCACTGTACACAGCTGTGTACTCCACTCCACAGGGCTCCATTCTCAAAAACAGGATGAGAATGGCACACTATAATTGGGTAACATGATGGCTCTGACTGGAAATAAAGTACTTTTAAAACCCAAAACATGGCCTGACACGGTGGCTCACGCCTGTAATCCCAGCACTTTGGGATGCCGAGGCAGGTGGATCACCTGAGGTCAGGAGTTCAAGACCAGACAGATCAACATGGAGAAATCTCATCTCCACTAAAAATACAAAATTAGCTGGGTATGGTGGTGCATGAGTAATCCCAGCTACTCAGGAGGCTAAGGCAGGAAAATCACTTGAACCTGGAAGGTGAGGGTGCAGTGAGCCAAGATCACACTGTTGTACTCTAGCCTGAGCAATAAGAGCAAACCTCAGTCTCAAAAAAAAAAAAACAAAAACAAAAACAAAAACAAAAAAACTAAAAAATGTTATAAAACCTATCGCTTTTTTCCTTATGTAAGAGGTGCAACTTTATTTCTCTATGACTAAACTGCTTTTTGGTTTTCATTTTCGTTTGAGACATAGTCTCACCCTGTTGCCCAGGCTGGAGTGTGCAAGCTCATTGCAACTTCAGCCTCAT